GAGAGAGAGAGAGAGAGAGAGAGAGAGAGAGAGAGAGAGAGAGAGAGAGAGATTGAGAGAGATTGAGATTCATTTTATAACTCACAGTGACCCTGAACTGATGATTTTCTTCTCTCAAACTCCTAGTCCTTGGATTACTGGTGTGTGCCACCATGCCTTCCAACAAACTGAGAGTTCTATTTGTATTTAGAAACTGACTTTTTTTTTTGGTCCATAGCTGAGGACTAAGGCAAGCGCTCTACCACTGAGCTAAATCCCCAACCCTAGAAACTGACTTTTAAGAGAAAGGAAGAAAGGTGTGAGGGCTGTAAACAAAGGATGGCATTTGAGAGCAGTTGGCTGTGTCTTACGATACAGTAGGTTTTATGGCAACAGAGGTTGTAATGTGTTCAACCTTGTTCCAGTTCCTGGAACACTGCTTGGCACATAGTGAGCAGCAGGAATTGCCTAGTACATGGACGAGTGAACTCTGAGTGTCTGTTGTTCTTATTACTGGTGTGCTTGAGACAGGGTCTCACTGTGTTGCTCAGGCTGTCTGGAACTGGTGATCCTCCGGGGGAGTTAGTCTTCTGAGGGTTGCCATTATGGGTATGTACCACCATACCTGCTCAGTGTTGCTTTATTTAACATTTTCTTGGATCATTTAAAGTTTGCTGTCATGTCTGACTCTTTAAATATTGACATTGTTGGATCACAAGACTGCCTTTAAATTCTTCATATGTGTTTACTTTGACTTATTGCTTCCTTGTGTGAGCCCAAGAGGAGAGCCATAGAACATGGCTTCTGACCTGGGCATACTTACAGCACTGCAATCTTATTATCGTACAGTTTAAGGGAGGCATAAACAGAAGGAATTGAACTGCTCTGGGGGGTGGGGGGAATTGCAGATTGTGTGCCAATAAGTACATAACGGCCATTCTGTTCCTTGTGGGTGTTCCTCCTTGAGACTACAGATCCTAGACAGCAGTGCCTCTGCCCCAAGGATGTTCTTCTCTGCCCAAGGTCAGACCTCTACCTAAGATCACGCTATCCCCTCTCGTGAGAACTTGGAGTCAGCACAGAGTATTTAAAGTCCACACAGGTTCCGAACCAGCTCTATCTACTGCCTCATTTGGCATACGACTCTTGGGCAGGAGACACACTCAGGTGACACAAGAATTTGATAGGGCACCCCTTGCCGTTTTGATGTTTACTGTCCTCAGCGGCAGGACATCCCTGTGTATCATTTCCTGTGTCCATGTCCAAATCTCATTCTTCAGAGGACTGAAGTCATGAGATTAGCACCCATTCTAATTCAGCATGATTGCACCTTAACTTGTACGTCTCCAAAGACCTTATTTCTAAACAAGGTTTGGGGCTGGAAAAATGGCTCAGAGGTTAAGAGCACCAGCTGCTCTTCTACAGGTCCTGAGTTCAATTCTCAGGAACCACATGATGGCTCACAACCATCTATGAGATCTGATGCCCTCTTCCGGCAGGCAGGCAAAACATGCAGACAGCACACTGTACACATAATAAAAAGGAAAAAAAACTAAAAATCTAAACAAGGTTTGACTCATGGGTACAGGAATTAGGACTACAGTAATTTTTTTTTTTTTTTTTTTTTTGGTGGTTGGGGCAGGGCAGGGTTCTAGTCATAGTTTTGTTAAAATACATGGTATAGATCTTACTCTTTATGGTGTGATTTTTGTTATTTATTTTTGAGACAGGGTCTCGGTCTGTAGCCCAGGCTGGCCTTGAATTTTCCTATTTTGGCCTCCCCAGTCTGGGGTTATAGCACATACATACTGCAGAGATGTGTGTTCTGTACCTCAGATCCTTTGCACTATTGCTACCATTTCCTTTCAGGGAAATAACTCACGTTTTGGTTACTTGCTTTATATATATACTCTTGGTGTGGAGTCGAGAAATAAGGTGTTCTAACAAAGCAAGCAAACAGCACCATGAAGTTTAACGTTCTTATTGTCACCTTCTAAACCTACGTTAGTGCTTCAGTGTGTGTGTACATGCTATGGCACCCAAGTGGAGGGCAGAGGGCAACTTCAGGGAGTGGGTTTCTCTTATTGTGTCGAGTCTCTCCCTATAGGTGTTGTCCTGGAGACCTTCCCACGGCAGTGAAGCAGGCAGGGCTGGAGGCCTCCCCTCAGGCCTGTCTCATTCCAAAGCATCCCATCGCCATTACCATGCTTAATTATAGTTTCCTCTATCGATATTCAAGATGGCAAACACCAAAATGCTGATTGGATGTTAAACCAAAGTAGTATTCATATGGGAGAATAGAGTTTTTCTCCTTTTATGAAATACTTTGAAGGATTTGGATTTAAAAAGTTGGATATTCTGGTGTGTGTGTGTGTGTGTGTGTGTGTGTGTGTGTGTGTGTGTGTGTGTGTGTTTTCTATGTTTTAACTAGGCCTAAACTGGCCTCAATTTGCAATCCTTCTGCATCTAAAGTGCTGGGATTATAGCTAAATACCACCACACCAAGCATCTGCTTTTGTTGTTGTTGTTTTGAGACAGGTTTCTCTGTGTTGCTCTGGTTGTCCTGGAACTCACAGAGATCCACCTGCCTCTGTGTCAGGATCAAAGCTGTGCACTACCGCTCCTAGGCAGAGAGTTTTAATAGCCTTGTATACATTTAAAATGTGGTCATAGTCATCAGACCTCTGGTTTTGACAGAAATCTCCAGGAACTGTGCATACGTGGGGACGGCTGGTCCTGAGTGCCAGCAGGAATCTGTCTCATCCTTGCCTCTTTTCCTTTCCACCGCAATAACCGCACCAAACAGGCACTTGCCACCCGGTGGGAAACAGCCATGAGGTATAGACCGGGCTGTAAGTGTGGGGATGGCTCCCACCTCTAAGCTTGGGGTCATGTGGCATATCTCATTGGTCAGACTTTGAACATGGACTGCCTCCGGCCTGGGAGTAGAGGAAAAGTGGTTTCCAAAGTGGATTGCCACAGTGCTCCATGTCAGAAGGGCAAGGGTGCCAAGCACAACTTAGAAAACATGTCGGTGGAAGAAGGGGTGGCCAGAACTTTCTGTCATGCTCAATATTGATGGCCATTGCCTGTAACAGGGAAGGACCAAAGGCGGACTGCTCCTCACAAAAACAGTAGCCGCCTCCCTCCCTGGAGAGAATGCTTAGCAATCTGGAGCCCGGGTGTGTGTGTCAGGCTTGCATGAAGCCCTCCATGTACTTGATGTAATCCACACCGCAGTTTGTGAAGTCAGCGATTATACATTGATCACTCCAATGGCAAATGGAAGGGGAAGGCTTTCGGACTTGAATCCCGCTGTGCCAGACTATACTTACACAGTCGACTGCTTTGACATCTGTCACTCCTTTATCATCCCCTTGTCCATTTGTCGTTGTCCTCCCCCCCACCCCCCGCCCCGTGTCCTATAGCAGAGTGGCCTGAGCAGTCGGCACCCCTTCTGCCCCAGGCACACCTTCTCCATTCTGCTTTTGTCTCTCCCGACCTGCCGCTGGTCCCTGCAGCCTGCGGCAGGCAGGGCGAGCGTCTTGGCTCCCTGTGCGTTCCACTCCCACCTCTGGATTTTCTTAGGGCAGTCAGCTATCTGATCTCTTATCAACCATCTGCTTTCCTTGGCTGCTCTTTGTGTTCAGAGCTCATCCTGCCTGGGCCTGCTTTGCTCCCCCCCCCTTGGGGGGGCAGCTCTCTGGTTTCCCCCTCTCCCTTTCCTGTGTTTCTGCACTCTGTTGTTGTATGGTATTCACGTCCACTGTTCGTTCTTCGGGTCTGTTTGTAAATGTGGCTTTAAGTCTCCCTCCCTCCCTCCTTAAATCTCACCCTTCTTGAGACAAGGTCTTGCTTTGTAACCAGGCCGGTCTATTCCTTCAGCAGGTCTGCCTCAAGACTCCTTCTTGAGTCTTACAGACGTGCTGGGTTTATAGACGTGAGTCTGAGACTCTATGCGAGGCTCTGAGACTCTCTCTTATCCTTTGGTTTTCTCTTTTGAACTTCAGACAGTTTGTAGTTATATATTTATGTGTAACTATTAGGTTAATAATATCCCCCCACTAAACCTCGAACTTCATGAGGACAGGGACTCAGTCAATTTAATTATTGATTCCCCAGCACCTACTACAGAGCCTCGAATACAGTACAAACTAAGTATGTGTTGAATGGGTTGCTCACCGTGTGTGAAAGCACACTCTGTAAATTGTTCCCTTCTGTAGTTTCTGCTTTCTGGTAGACCTTGTTACTGCTGCATAAGACTGCATTTTCTTCTTGATGTCTTTTGCTTAGGAACAAACCGTGTTTCCCTTATTGCTAACTGTCATGGTTAGCAAATGCATTTGGTTTCCAAGCCTCTGTATCAAGCCTGACGTACTAGGGAAAGTAATAACCTTAGGCTGTGTGACTGCTGCGGGTTCCACCAGAGGAGGGGCGAGCGGGGAGGTGGCTGGCTTCTCATTCCCGGTGCCGCGTGGAAGCATAAGCACCCCCTCAACTCCCGTGTGCTTTCCCTGAACCCAGGCATGCAACAGCCCTCTCTGGGTGTCCTTGCAACCTCTTTCTGCCATGGGTGCCCCGGCTGACTCTGGAGGGCAGTCCTCCTCTCCAGTGACTTACTGCTGGACCAGCCTTGCCGCCCTCGGCATGAGCGTTGGCAGTATCTGCGCAGCCACTTCCTGATTCACACAGGCGCATGGCGGGCAGTCTGCCCATGATCACTCCAAGCCCTGGAGATAGCCTAACTTCTCTCTCTCTTCGGAATCCACAGCTGGTCATGTTCGGAGTTGGACCTGAGTGATATTCGCCTGATAGTGTACCAGGACTGTGAGAGGAGAGGCAGACAGGTCATGTTTGATTCCAGAGCCGTTCAGAAGACGGAGGAGGTGGCGGCAGCTCAGGTATGAGACGCTGATAGGCTCTCCACCCTCTCTGGTCAGTTTGAGCTGTGCTGGACAGGGCCAGCCAGGATTCGGAAGAACGAGCAGAGCCTGCATCCTAACAGGCAAGCACGTGTCTGTGAATATAACAAGCGATTCTGGTAGGCCAACAGTGGACCATTGCCACCAAGAAAGATGCATTTGCTGGTGATTGTAACCCAGTAGGATTTTTGTACGCGTTAAGCATAGTAAGAAAATACATTGCTGAGATTCAGAAAGTGCTGGATTATTTGCCAGAAGAGAAAGTCATTCTGTCCTGATTTTTCTCATCGATAAAGGTGCCAAGTGTGGCTCATGCCTGTAGTCCAGCCCTAGATAGGCTGAGGTAGGAAGATGGTGATTTGGGGCTAGCCTGGGCTACATAGTAGGACCATGTTTCAAAACCAAAATAAATAAAAGGTGGTATTTTGTAACACAAGGTCAAACAAAATTAAAAGACTTCCTCACTGTAGGGCCTTAATATATGAATGTACACTGTCATCTTACCTCTTCTGATCAAGGAACCTTTCGTTAATTTCCCTGTTGTAGGGAGGGGAATGGTGGAAATGGGAAGTGGGAGGGACTTGGGATGGCGAGTGAAGACTGGAAAAATCTTGACCCGTTTGATCCAGACCAGGAAAGATAAAAATAATTTGAGAAGAACGTTGCCCTCCCTGTTCTCTTTGGATATCAGCCAGGATACCTCTCATCTGTGGCCATGGCTAGACCATTTACTTCAGTATACGTTCAGATCCTTACAGATTAAACAAATCCCCGGATACTCTTTTCTTGATGAAAGACTTGCTTCCCATACTGACCAAATTCTGGCAGTCTATAGATGGCGGTTAAGTGAAGGAAGTTATAACATGGCCTTTGCCTCACGAGGGCCAGTGGGCTCTTTTCCAGCTTTATCTTTATTTCTTAGAAATGACTTGGCAGGGGGTGGATACGCAGGCGACTGCCCGCGTGTGGAAGTCAGAGGACAGCTCTGTGGAACTGGTCTCTTCTTCCACCTCTGTGTGGGTTCCAGGGATCAAACTCACTCCCAAGACTTGTGGGACGAGGACTTTGACCTACTGAGCCATCTCGCTGGTCCTCGGTTTCCAGCTTTTGATAAGAATCTTCGTTTGCAGGAAGGAAGTTTTGGTTGAAGGCCGTTGAGCCGGGTGGATAGATACCACAGTACTTACTGAGGAATTCTGCCGGGAAGCTAATCATTACCCGAGTGGTTGGGCTTGTTAGGTGGGTGGAGGAGAAAGCTGTGAAATCTCTCAGAGGATTCTCATGTGCTCTAATAGCAGATTGGGATCAGGAGCTTAGGTGAGCTTTCTTAGAAGTACTCATTTAATTAAAAAAAAAAAACATTTAGGCTCAGGAACATTTGTGTAGCTTGCCAAAGACTGCAGAGAGACCAATCAATTGGGAGGGCACTCACTGTACCAGGTGCTGTTTCCAGCCATGCTCATTGCCCTGTGCTCCTGCAGTCGGCTCGTAAGTGGGACCTCCAGTCATCTTGAGCTTTCAGCCCTCTGAGAGGCTCTTAGTGGCTTAAGTGGTATTAAGTAGCGCCTGGAACTGAGGAGAATGTTGAGGGAACCCTGAATGCAGGATGCTCAGGATTAACCCTGTGTACAATTTCAGACCCCATCATGGCTGGAGTGAGTGCCTGCTGTAGACCAGCACATTGTGTGTTTCCTTTACCTTCCTTCTCCAGGTCAGCCCCTCCTCAGCCTCACCCCCTTGATAAGCACAAGACGTCACGAGTGGATCCGCACGTGACTGCAAGCATGTGCCGTGGACCACCAGTGTGACGGTCACACTGGAGGTTAGATAAGCTGCTCTTGCACTCATGGGTTCCCAGGCAGAGGCTACAGAAGAGAGGGGAAAAGGCAAAGGAGACTCCGAAGTCATTTGTCACGAAGGCTGCTCTGTAGGGAGTGTTCTGTTCTGGTGGCCGGCACGAGTATCAGTACCTTTATGTCACTGTCCTAAGAATTAGCAGTGAACACTTGAGGGGATACAGGCATTCACTCCTGTTACGTCTGATCTTTAAAGTCCACACTCCCGTCACATGCCCTGTGGGTCACAGTAGCTCCTGTTTCAGGGTTTGGGCTTCACCTTTCACAGTTCCATCCCAGTGATTTCCTTCCCTGCTCTTAAAGGAAGGCTGCAGAAGTATGAGAAACGCAAGCCCGCCTGCCCAGGCTAATAGCTTTCTTTTCTCAGTCACATGTAGTTGGTAAAATTTTGAATGTTAGTGGCCGTTTTGCTCATCAGTTCCATACGTTAAGACTACACAGTACTAAAATCTCCTAAGAACTACAACAGGGAGTAGTATTTGTTTATAACTTTATAGTATAAATTTAAATGTAAATACTGGCAGAAACTATGTCTATCATCTGTCTCCCTGTCTCAATCAGTCTGTCTGTCTACCATGTCTTTATCTGTGCAAAGACCCCACCATTTTCTGTGTAATATCCCCTTCCCAGATATTCCAGACTCCCAGGAATGAGATTTTTTTTGTCACTATAAAGGAAAATTAAACAGAGCCTTTGGTTTTAATGGCATTCAGGCATCCGAATGTTCTGACGAATTTCCACTTGATGAAGAGTGTTGATGAAAGCCTGACACACTTGATGATCCTTTCTTTACCTTGCCTGCCTCTCTTAACCCAGAAAGCAGAGGATGTCCCTGTTAAAATGTCAGCCAGGTGCTGTCAGGAGAGCAGCGGGAGTGTCAGCAGCAGCAGCGGCAGCGTCTCTTCCCACAGCTCTGGAGGATCCCTGCAGCACGCTAAGGAGCAGCTTCCAAAGTACCAAGTAAGACATGTCGTCTCTAGAAGAGCCATGATAAGTGTGGGCACGAGTGTCTGGAGAGGTGACCTTGTTTGGTGTTGTTTGTTTGAGACAGGGTCTCAAGTAGTTGAGGCTGGCCTCTAACTAGCTACGTAGCTGAGGATGACCTTGAATTTCTGGTCTTCCTGCCGTCACCTCCCAATTTCTGAGATTTCAGGTATGTACCACATCTGGCTTCTTTTGATTTTTGGGACGTTGTCTCCCTATAGTAGCCAAAGCAGGCCTGGAACTGACTATGTAGCCCATGCTGATCTCAGATCTTTCTGTCTCAGTCTCCCTAGTGCTGATTATAGGCATGTACCACAATAACCAGCTTTCCATGTTTTTGTCTTTTTTAGTTTTAATGATTTATTTATTATTTTATGTGCATTGGTGGTTTGTCAGCATGTGTGTCTGTGTGAGGGTGTCAGGTCCCTTGGAACTGGAGTTACAATCAGTTGTGAGCTGCCATGTAGGTGCTGGGAATTGAACCCAGGTCCTCTGAAAGAGTAGCCAGCGTTTCTAATCTCTGAGCCATCTCTCCAGCCCTCCATGTTCTTACTTTTTAAACACGTATAGAATATTATCTCTACTGTTGCTGGTAAAGCAAGGTCATGGTGATTACCAGCAGCCACAGATGCATAAGGCTTGAATTTTAAGACTTGTGTGGTGCATTTGCTCATATTGCAGTGCTCAAAGCCGGTTGAGCATCTCAGTTGGCACGTGGTCTTTGTAACCAAGAAAAGGCAAATTAGAAAACAGAGAGAGTGGGTGGAATTTATTAGTAGAGAATGAGACATGAGTTGGTTTGTGTCTGAAGTGCCATGAAGTTGATATGAGCTGTAACCAGAGGTGAATCCACCCTCTATTAGCAGGACAGACAAGCTTATCTTTCTCCTTCCTCTTTTGTCATTATGCAGAGGCTGAGTGTGTGTGTGTGTGTGTGTGTGTGTGTGTGTGTGTGTGTGTGTGTGTGTGTTTGTACTTAGATATATGTCTGTCAGAGTTAAAGACACTGGAAAGATTCAAGAAAGCGTTTTGAAGAAGATTCCTTTATTTTTTTCTTTTCGCTGAGAGCGCACTTGCGGAGTCTGCCTGTTGAGCATCGGTCAGGCTGTGCTCGTGTGCCTAAAGCACACTCGTTTGTTTCACTCTTTTTTTTTTTTTACTTGTCCATAGGGTGTCAGCATGGATGAACACAGTCACTAAGACAGCGGTTCTCAACCTGAGGGTAGCTACATCTTGCATATCAGACATTTACATTACAGTTCATAACAGTAGCACCATTACAGTTCTGAAGTGGCAATGAAATAATTTTGTGGTTGGTCACCACAACATGAGGACCTGTAGTAACGGGTCACAACATTAGGAAGGTTGAGAACCACTGCCTTAAGACATCTTAAAGCTGAAGGAGAGATGTTGACCTAGAAATAAGTCAGGGGATTAATAACGAAGCAAAAGAATGGTGGAAATACTGGTGAGCAGGAGTGTCCTCCAGGGAACTGTTTCAAAGAGTGATTTGAGAAAGAAGAGATTCAAGTTGGAAGGGAATAGTGTCAAATAAGATCTGATCAAGTAATTAGAATGTGTCTCCTGGATTTGAAGGAAAGTGGAAGGTGGACTATGGAGGTCAATTAGAGCAGTCAGGATCAACCAGGCAAACCCAGGCTTCTCTGTGTCAAAGGCTGTCATTTATCACCTCATCCTTCGAGTAAAAGATGGTAAAAAAGGCCCAGGAAACTGGTCAGAATTTGAAGTGTTTTTTGAAATATTTTTATAAAGTCTTAGAGCAGTCAGCTCACCTTTATCTCCTAGATCTTCACAAAGTCCTGCGTGGACACTGCTGTGGCAGCCACTTTGCTCTGCTCTGGTAAAGCCCAAGGCAGCTTACAGAAGGAGTTTGTCTGGGTTTGTGGTTGCAGAGGGTCAGAGTCCATGACGGGCAGGAGCAGGAAGCTGTGGTCTCACATCTTGAACCTCAAGCAGGAAGCAGACATCAAACTGAAAATGGCAGGAGTCTAACCTTTGATGGGACATACTTTGTTCAGCAAGGCCACACATCCCAAACCTACCCAAACACCACCTGGTGACATCTGAACTTATGGGGGAACGTTCTCATTCAGATGACCACAACTAGTAACTATTTAGTTGAATAAGACTATAATAATACCATGTTTCTTTCCAGGATCTGCTCCGTACCCAAAGAAGAGCTAACCTGTTTCTTCCGTAGTTAAAATTTATAAATGGAGATGGATAGTCTTTGTTGTGTCAGCATATTGTATATAAGGAAGAAATAAAAAAATAGTAGTATTTGTGAACTGTAGCAGGTGATCACTGTGTAGGTGATAATTGTAAGGTGAACGGCTGTCGTGACAGGCCACTCAACCAGAGACCCAAAGGTTAGCAGGCAGTGTGCTAATTGTGTTGTTCCATGTTGTGTTCTAATTGACTCCGATTTCTTGGGCACAGTACACGAGACCAGCTTCCGACGTCAACATGCTCGGGGAAATGATGTTCGGCTCTGTCGCCATGAGTTACAAAGGCTCCACCCTGAAGATACACTACATACGGTGAGGTTGCCCCTGTGCTGGCTGCGAGAACCGGGATGCTGATGCTGACTTCTCCGTTTAAAAAGCACATTTCTCCCCTCTTATTTTTTTTTTTAGTTCTCCTCCACAACTGATGATTAGTAAAGTCTTTTCTGCTAGAATGGGTAGCTTCTGCGGAAGCACAAATAAGTAAGTGTGGGATTTTGTGCCCTTTCCTATGTTTCTTGTGTCTGTTTCTAGATAAGCTCTGTGAGGGGGAGCAGCTAGGCGGGTACAGCTTAACAGAGAGGTCTTCGTCATTTCCTAATAACAGCAAGTGAAAAACCTTCCGGTTTTCCTCAGGTTGCCCTAAAGACGGATGACTTCGTCTATTTTTTGAGAAAAGGTCTTAAGGTCCCAGGCTGACCTTGAACTCAGCTAGAACTTGCTGTGTAGCTGAAGATGGCCTTGAACTCCTGATCCTTCTGCCTCTCCCTCAGAGTCCTGGGGTAATAAGTGTGTGCTGCTGTAACCAATTTATAGGGTGCTAGAGAGTGACCCCAGAGCTCGTGTATCCCTGGCAAAACTGTATGAATTATTCTATTGCCAGCTTGACAAATGACGCTTGTTCTGGATATCCATTTATTATTTTCTTTTCCTACTGTCTGTCACCAAGTTTTGATTCTCAGGAAAATATAAAATAAAAGGGGAAGAGGACAGGGCCACTTTGTTTTTGTTTTGGGGGGGTATTGTTTTAATTCGGTGTATGTAGTGGGGAGCAGGGTCTAGTCCAGCCTCTCGTCAAGATTCATGGTAGTCCTTCTGTCTCAGCCTCCTGAATATTGGGGTTAGAGTTGTGATCCACCGCTCCCAGTTTCATTAATTTATCCTGGAAAGAATGAAGTAGTATGGTTTCTCGGGCTGCAGTGCAGGGAGCCATCTGTCTTAGCAGCTAGCCTAGCCTTTGTGGCTGATAGGTTCTTGGGCCATGCAATCCTTTTATTTTCATTCCTGGTTGGTCCCTCCTCCCACCTCACCCCCACCCCAAGGTCCGAAGGAAACTCCCCTGCCCCAGATTCTCACTCCATTCATCTACTGAAGAGGTCATTTCCTTATCACTGTCAGAAGTGACAAATGGCTATCTGTGGTGCTGTTAGCACACCATGCACGTGCTGGCCTCCAGGGTCCTTCAGTATCACTAGGAGGAGCTCTTCTCACCTCCTGCCCTACCCTAAACTCCAGCTCAGGAGCTGTCCTCCCTCAGCTTCTCAGTCTTCTTAGAACCCTGCTTGTGTTCCCCTCTCTCCCTCCCTCTCTCGCTCACCACCCCCATCTCCCTCCCTCCACCCACACTGTCGCTCTCCCTCTCTCCATTCCGCCCTCCTCTCCTGCCCAGTCCAGTCTGCTGAGTGTACTCAGTCTACTACTTTTTCTTGGCTCCCAACTCTTCCAGGTGCCTCTGGCTGTACCCTCCCTCATAGCGACAATAAACCTGCCCTTCAGCCCTGCCTTGGAGCAGTTAGCTCCTTAGTTCACACACACACACACACACACACACACACACACACACACACACACACACACACACCTTTATACTTTACTATAACACTAATACTGAAATGTCTAAATGGGATTATAGGCAGGCACTACCAAACCTGCGTGATACTTGTTTTTGAGTGTTTTTTTAAATATATCTTTGAAATCACCTGAATGTTTGTTTATCCTACTATCTATAATAAAATATTAAGCTCAGATTTAAGTAAAGTTATTTTAGTTTTATTGTGCTGTGTTATCTCCAGAGTGTTGGTATTTAGTTTCTTGCTAAAATAATGTATTTAAAAAAAATCTGCTCCACTCATTTTTTTGTGAGTAATTCTAATTTTCTCAAAATGAATCATAATTTCTGATATGTCTTCACCCTGAGACAAGTTGGCTGAATTATTAATAGATATTAGCCAAGATTTAAAATTAATTGATTTTGAGTGTTTATTGAAAACCCTTGGAATGAATAGCAACATCTTAGGTGTTACTGTCTAAAGCAAAATCTAAAAATGAATAGCAGTATGGAAGGTGTCACTTTCTGAAGCACAGTTAGAGTTTTGTGTCTCCTTCAGATTTTGAAGTGCTTGTGAGTCCGGTTGCGTAGGTAGTCCTGTGGATTGGCCACTTGCCAAACATTTTTGCTTTCCTCCAACAAATTCCTCCCAACCTACCATCTTGACTCCCTTTGGTAGATGTGAAACTTTATAAGGAAAAACTCTGAGTGACTGACGAGTTGTCTGTAGTGAGGAATCTGTTAAAAACAGACTTGTTAACCTCTTGATGTCCTCCCTCCCCTCCATTCCGTCTTGATTCAGCCTGCAGGACAGCTTCGAATACATCAGCCAGGATCCTCAGGTTGGAAAACTGAACACGAATCAGAACAGTTTGGGTCCCTGCCGCACTGGAAGTAACCTAGGTAAAATGAGGCGCTGGAGCGGATGTTCCCCGCGTGCTGCTCCTGGCGCCGTGCTTTGCCTTACTTGAGTTGGTTGTGTTTGGGTTTGGGTTTGCGTTCTCTTTAACCTGTGTTTCTTTGTGTGTGTGTGTGCCCTGCGTCTCCTGTGTGTTCTGCTCTAGGTCTGCTGCAGGCGTGCAGCGGCAAACTGCTGCAGGGGGTGTCCGAAGGAGGACCGCTCCGGCTCACCCGCAGCGCTTCTTTCTTTGCAGGTTTGTGTGGAATGCTGTGCACAGTGTGTGTGGCCCCCACACACTTAATCTCCTCTGCAGGTTCTAGGGGGAAAACAAATCCATCTGTTCTCCTCTAGAAACCCAAAGGGCTTTTGTAGCAGGAGATACTAGTTTCCAATGTGGTCATGAAGGTCCACCCAGGAACCTCTGTTGTGAATGTCTTTGTTAATGGCCCAGATATGAGCTGGTTTTGATCTGACGTGAGCCCTTTGCGTTTCTAGGAGAATTAATTTCTTCTGATTTTCCTAGGCCGCCTCTGCTGCTGTAAGCTGGGTCTCTCTGCTATGAAATCTTTCATCCACTTATTCACCTGCACCCTTACCTGCATGGAGTTTCTAACTCACTCTATTACGAGGATGGGAGGGCTCAATCAGGTCCCTCTCTCTCTCTCTCTCATATTAACTTTCTCAAATTATTTAAATGCAGTGTCTAGGTTCCGTATAGGTCTAGTCATCTTGATATTCTGGGTATTTTTTGAGATGTAACTGGCTTTATCCAGTGTGGCATGATTAACAAGTGTGAGCAATCTTCATGATTACCTTAAAGGTGTGAGGGAGGCAAATGGGATTTTTCATTCTGTTCCCTGAAATACACTAAGCATCATAGTTTTCTGATGCCTAATGAAATTGATCTACAGTCCCAGCTACTTAGACCAAGTATAGCATGTTTCCAAGTATGATGTTCAGTCACAACAGTTCTCAAATTTACTAGAACACATTCTCTCTCTCTCTCTCTCTCTCTCTCTCTCTCTCTCTCTCTCTCTCT